TAACTGTAATTTTGCTGCTGTTAATGAATCATAATGTAAATATCTGTTTTCTGACGGTCTTAAGCTCTACAGTAGCGGTTCTCAACATGTGGGTTGCCTAAAACCATCAAAAAACACAGATATTTACATTACTATACATAACAGTAGCAAAATTACAGTTATGAAGTAGCAAGGAAAATAATTTTATGGTTGGGGGTCACCACAACATGAGGAACTGCATTAAAGGTTCGCGGCATTAGGAAGGTTGAGAACCACTGCTTTGGTGCTTCACAAAGATGCCCCCGGCAGCAACGTGAAGGGGAGTGGCAGGCCAGGTGAGGGGAGTGGCAGGCTCACGGCAGTGTGGCTGGATGGGAACCCACTGGAAAGATACACGTGGCAGAAATGAATGCACCTTCAATCCAAAATGGTAGAATGTAGAGCAAAAGGGAAAAGGAACATCATGCTGTAACTGAGTATCTGGGTAGATATGTTCTCCAAAATCTTTTAGTTGGGGAAGATCTCGTTTACCTAACCTTTTAGGCGAACTACTAAGCCACATGTTAACTCTCCAATTTACATATTAGTCATGTAAAAAAAAAATTGTCTAAAAGAAGCAGCCATCACCAAGCAGGTCCTTTGTTTTGGTATTTGAAATCCCGTCTACCCATCTGTCACACTCACACTGGTGGCCCTGGTCAGAGGGAAGTCTAGACCCTGGGCAAGGCTGCTGGGGCGTTCCCTGCTTTTCCTTCCACGATCCCCAAAGCAGGGAGGAGGGTGTCTTGGGGAAGCTGGGTTAAAAGGTCCCTGGGGGCAGTGAGAGGGAGATATATGTTGATGGTTCAGGGCAGTCTGCCACCGCCAAGCCACAACGTTACATCGTGTGGTGAGTAGTTCTAAAAGCCAATGCTGCTGTCACAATTCCATCTTAATTTTTATCAGCTGGATATGGACGGGGCTTCATGGTCGTATACTTAATGCTTTTGCTCAGATCCTTGGCTAACCGATGTTTTTCCGTGACTTTTTGACAGTTATTTTTGTTCAATAATGAATAATAAAGTGAGATTTACCATCTGTGTATGACAGCATTTGTTTTATTTTGACATTTCTTTTCTGGACAGCAAAGGTTTTATAATTAGCTTTTCCCTCTGCCAAAAAAATTCTGAAAAACCATTTCCCTGGGGGAAAAAAAAGTTTCATAGTTTCCTTTTCACTAGTTGCAGTCATCTTATTTGGATTTGGGAGTCTTTTAATAAGTCGGTCAGGAAATGACACAAGAAATTTTTCTTTTGAAAATTAATTCTTTACAAGGACAAAAATTAACTTTTGCCCAAAGAAAATTAGGAGAGAAAGTGAAAAGAAATATGTTTGAGATGGTGGTGGTTCCATTATCTTAAAAAAAAAAAATATTGAGGTAAAATTGTTATATTTAACAATATATAAGTTGATATATATTATATAAAGTTGGTACATACCACTATATAAATTCCACTGTAATTCAGCATCTGTATGCTCTACAAAGCAACCATCCCAAAAGACTAGTTACTATCTTTCAGCAATACTATATATATACCCCTTTTTATTTTTGTCAGACTTAATTGAGCAGAATTTAAAAAACCCTTTTTTACCTTGTTTCAAATGATTGGTATTTGAAATCATGTCTACTTGATTCTTGCTGTTACCCTGATCAGTCCAACTCGTTGAAATCCTGGGGAGATTGTGCTAAGATTGATAGACACCCCCGTATTTCCAAAGGCGTCATAAGCGGCAGCCATCAGCCTGGTGCTGCCTGTGGAGACGCTGCCTCCCCACCCCATCCTGCCTGCAAAGCTGAAAGGCCCTCTTCACGCAGCCACATGCACAGTTGGCTCAGTGACGGGGGAGCCGAGGAGAACAAGTTGCAGGTGTGTTAATGACTAGTGCTTTATCTCTGGAGTGCTCAAAAAAAAAAAAAAATGTGGAGGAAGCCACATTGATAATCGACGATAGAATGGCTTATCATTGCTAATGGCAAAAACATCATGCTGAGCTAATGGCCAAAACATCACTGCCCTGGCACCCTCCCCTGACACGATGAGGAAACACCTTCCAGCTCCTACAGTAGCAGCAGGGCCAGATTCTCTTTCCAGCCTGGAGTGTTTTCCTTTCCAAGTTATTCCGAAGGGCCGCTCCTAGGATCCGATTCCAGGCGCAGCCACCCTTATCCCATCCTCTCCACCCCATTCCCACCACCATCATTATCCAACGTTTGTACTGAGCACTAACAGATATGTGCAACTGGAAGAGACATTTTAGAACCTCAAAAGTGCATCTATTTTAAAATGGAGAAAACAGACATCTTCTACAGACATTAGGCCAGAATCATTTATAACAAGCCAGACAATAGAGCGAGATAACAGTGCTGTCTCAGCCATTCTTGTTCTCATGGGTAGAGTGTGAGCATTTCTATCCAGTATATTTCTGTATCATGAACCAGCACCTTCTTTTAAATTTTATAGGTTGGTTATGGGTCACATACTCTAGAAGTATAAGGAACATGGAGGAATCCCTTTGTCTAAAGATGGTGGTGCCCTTGTTTTGAATATACAGGTCAGCTCATGCAAAATAGAATGTGTATTTAATGCACTGGCTTGGTAGATGGTTGGGCTTTTTTGGGAAGAGATGTGAGGTTTGAGGAGAGGTTCTTGTGAGACTGTGACAGCAGCTGCGATTGCTTGCCCCCCACCAAGGTGTTGAAGAATTGTTACCTTCATCTCATCTAGCCCAAGACTCTTCTCCCTCCCTTCACAAAGCAGAGAGAAACAGAGGAGCAAGTGTGTTAAAGGCTAAATTAGAAGCCACCTTAGCAGTAGATCCTTGAATTTCTTACCCACCAACAATGATTCTCCTCCAAAGGGAACGATCGCCTTGAAAATGCTCTCCTTCTGTTCTATCGCAGGAAGCGTGCACACTTGGCTGAGGTTGACTGCTTATGGTTCCACAGGGAAGGGATGCTTTCTGTGGCCTAAGGTCTCCGTCAAGAACGTCAGGAGCGTGGCGCTTTGGGAGCATGTACCTGGAGAGTCACACAGACTTGTTTGAATCCTACATTCCCCAGCTATTGGTTTGGCCTTTTCACATCTCACTTGTTAAAGCAACAAAATGATTATAACACTAGGCTATTTGGGTTGTTAACATACCCTGTTTCCCCGAAAATAAGACAGTGTCTTATATTAATTTTTTCTCCCAAAATTGTCTTATCTTTCCATGCGCTAGGTCTTATTTTCGGAGGATGTCTTATTTTCGGGGAAACACGGTACTAACTACCATTTACTTAGTGCTTATATTGTGCCAGGTACCTAACCCAGCAGTGATCATGTAAGGTGTCATTTACATTTTAGTCATGTAGAATGAGTCTCGCCATATTACATGAGGTAGCAATTATTATCTGCACATGAAAGGTAAGAAAAAACAAAACAAGCTGGTGAGTGACTGATATCAGGCTTCCAGTCTGTCAGACTCTGAATTTCGTGAGCGGTAATATGAAATTAAAGTGTTTCCTGATGCATAGTAGGTGCTTGCATAACACATGTTAGTTCCCTTTCCTCCCATGTGTATCCTGTGGCTTTGAAAGATGTTGATTTCTGTGTTATTTGTAAGGTTCTGTAGAGCAGGTCTGTACTACTGCCCCCATGTGGTTCATTTGGAAACTGGTTTTACAGTGTTTTGTTGTTGTTTTTAAGTGTTTCGTGTTTGTTTGTTTTTAATGTTTAATTAAAGTAGTATAATATACGTGCAAATAAGTGTTATTTAAACGAGGTCTCTAATGTCACCTAAGTGTGTGGATAGTTTTGAAGATGATTCTACAACCTCACTACACAAGAAATACCACTTTTTACTTTCTACAGTCCAGCTTCATTTCTAATTGACCCCTAACTGGCGGGTAGGATACTTAACCTCGGTCACTCTTGCAGCTTCTCTCCTAGCCTCACCAAGTCTTCCATTCCTCCAGCTGTCTTGGAAGAAAACCCTTCTCTTTCCTGGCACAGCGCCCCATGAGGCTTTCTGTTTTGCCATCATCCTGACCAGAAGAGAAGAACTTTTCTTGCAATTATTTTTTTCCACCCGGCTGCTCTGTTTACGGAGACATTTAGCCCACTAGAGAAAGCCTCACCTTTCACACTTAAGAAAGAGTTCAGATCACCAGGGAGTAGAGTGTTGGTTCAGTTACCAGTTTAAATGTGAGAAAACGTTTCCAAGAGGAAAATAGAAAGGTCCACTGTCCCCACCTATCAGGAGCTTTACATCGCTAAGTGAACCTCATTTGCAGGTTTCATTTCATGTGCCAGGAGGGCTCAGCTTCCCTGGATTCATCGTCTTGTGTTACACCAAGCTGCAAGCATGCACTTAATACCCTGTGTCTCAACTCCAATTGAAAAATAACAAATATATATGTGTGTGTGTGTGTGTATATGTATGTGTGTGTGTGTATATATATATATATATTAAAACAACAACAACCAGTGCATTGATTAGTGCAGGGCTCCACCCTAAGCAGTCACCTCAGGGGACACGTTTGTTTTTCCGTGGCCATATCCACAGAGGACTGATTGGTCTCCTGTCAGATCTGGTTATGTCTGTGTGATGGAGGGTAGTTTTCAGAGGGAAAAGGGTAGTTGATACAGGAGAGGGTAAGGAGGAATTATCTTTTTTTGTTCTTAAGCACCCTTTATAACAACAAACACAGGAGTCTTCCGTTTTTATTTTTATTTTTAATAAATTTTTATTGTTCATATTATTACAGATGTTCCTCACTTCCCCCCTCCTCCATTGCTCCCCTTCATCAGGTTCCCACTCCACCCTCTGTCCTTTCCCCACCCCCCATTGCCTTCATCCATTGGTACACAGTTTATGTACAGTCTCTTCCCACACCCCCACTCCCCTTTTCCCTGAATCGTCAGTTCACTCCCCTTCCATACCTCGAGTCTTCCGTTTTTAAACATTGTCCTAATGCCAACATCTATCTAATTATATTGCAGATAATGGTGGGCAGACTTTGGCCGGGGGCAATAACTGGCCCCTTCGAGGCAGAAAGTGGAGCCTGTGGGAAGGAGGCGTGCGAGGGGTGGGCTTCGTGGCCAGCCCCTTGCTGAAACAGAAGGGCGTGAAGAGCCGGGAGCTCATCCACATTTCCGACTGGCTGCCCACTCTGGTGAAGCTGGCCGGGGGCAGCACGAACGGTACCAAACCTCTGGACGGCTTCGACGTGTGGAAAACCATCAGGTACCTGTGCATCCTTTTCTTTTTCCTCTCAGGACAGACCTGTAAGATCAGCTCCACTCAGCTGAGTGAGAATGATAGCTTTTTGTGAAAATGATAGCTCAGCTTACAAATAAATGATTTTTTAAAAAAGAAAGGCCTTTAGAAATATTGTAAAATTTTTTTTTCGGGTTTTTGATCCATAGACCTCTTTGAAACTGAAAGATGTGAATGTACAGGAAAAAGGTAGCTACACATATGCACAAGAATTCGGATAGCATTTATTTTTATGATATTAGACATTGGTTACACTTTCTCTCTATGTGATTATGTGTTTCATGTTGTTGAGTCAGCTTTGACTCCTTACAAGTCTATGACTGGGTGATGTTCACAGTGCTCTGTCCTCCACAGCCTAAGGCTTCTTTTATTGAATCAGTCCATCTTATATTTACTTTTCCTGATGCCTTGTATTTTTGCCCAGTATTATTATCTTTTCCAAAGACCATTTCCTTCTCATGATGTGCTCAAAGTAGAATAGCTTCAGTTTTGCCATTTTTGCCTCCATCGATGGTTCAGGTGTAATTTGCTCTAAGACCCACTAGTTTGTCTTTCTGGTGGTCCAGGGCATCTGTAGACCTCTCCTCTAACATCAGATTTCAAGTGAATCAATTTTTCATATCAGCCTTCTTCACTGTCCAACTTTTGCATCCATAGTAGTTTTTGGGAGCACAGTGGTGTCAATGATCTTAGTCTTCGTCTCTCTCTAATCTTTTTACTTCTTTTCATGGCTGTCCTTGCAAGTCTCAGCCTTCTCTTGATTTCACAGAGAAAAATGTGAAAAACGTTTTTTTACAAATTTCTGCCTCTCTCACTTATCTTTAATGCAAAATTAATACCTACTTTATGATTAAAAAATAAATAAAAATTCCCAAGCAGAGCAAAACTTGAACTTCAGTTCAGTTTATCACCAGCTTTCACCATGAAGGCTACTGAAGTTGGACTAAAAAAATAGGAGGAAGTTTTGAGTGGATTTAATATGATAACATATTGTCATGCTTGACATCCAGTCAGTTTTGATGTGTGTGTGTGTGTGTGTGTGTGTGTGTGTGTGTGTGTGTGAGTGTGTGTGTATGTGATAAACAGGTTATAAAACCCAACTTGCAAAAGCACACATAGCAAATGAAGTCAGAGCTCTGAGACACACTTTGCCAAATGAGGGTAGGCTTGAGTTGAGAAGTAGTTGAACTCATGTTGAATAATTTTCTCTGCTCCCAATTCACTGAGTTTATTTTCTTTGATTAAATCCAAATCATTGATGTTCATCTATATCACCAAACTGTGGATGGTAAGTTCACATGTCAGTCTTAAGATTCTCTTGATCAGAAGTAACATTTGGCATTTGTTTGCTGCTGCCCGCAGAAAATTTGGGAACAGTTTAGTTCCTTAACTCCAGATTTGCAGAAAGTCTGTCTTCAGTGTTAGGAACACTGACCTCCTACTGACCAGTCTCTTATAAACAGAGCTCTCCATTCCTGAGCATGCATAGTGTTTGTTGACTGCAGGGCTTTACCCAGAATGTATGGTGAAAAACATTGTCCAAGCATGCTAAACCATGAGGAAGTACAGGCTCCTTTTCTATTGTTTTAAAAAGTAAAAATTGCTGCCCAATGTTTAATCAAGAATTTTAAGACTCTAGAAATCCAGCAAATTTCCCTTTAGTAGGTGAAGATCCGCTCTTATGCTCTCCTTTCTTGATAAAAAGATCCTGGAAAAAGAGTGATGTAGCCCCCTAGTCATTGCTTTGTACAGTATCACAAGCCCTCCTTTAGTGTCAGTGGCAGAGCACCGGGCACCCATACCCGCCGACCCAGTAAGCCATCGGTCAGATGGACATCTGGAGCCTCTTTTCTGAAGCCCTAGAAACACGTGGACAGCCAAATGCCAGAAACACATCATCTGTGCCCAGAGTTCTGCAAATTTTTTTCCAGTCACATATTTACTTGGAAATACCATTTCCAAGATGATGGTAGCTGTTGAAAATTTCAGTAAGTTCTGATGAAATAGGAATGCCAGTAATGGGTGAAAAATAGAGTTGGCTGTGCTGAGAGCAGCAGGGTTTCACTAGTTGCCTAGTTATCAATTCCTCTTAGACCCGCTTTAAAATATTAAAACGTTAGGAGAAATAGCAGTTCTGGATTGAGTGACATTATTTGCAATAGAAGCTCTTTCAACTGCTTCCATTTTTTTTTCGGTTCCAAGCCACAGACCTTGTTTGTCATTTAGAGGGACATGACTCCTCCAAGCTCTTTCCAATTCCAGTATTACAACACCTTTTATTACATGCTTTCCCATTCCTGTTTCTAATTTTAATTAATCTTTTGATAGGATGGTTAATATTTTCAAGTAATTATAGTAAAGGTACACAAATAATGAGTTATTTTAGTCTTTGCATATGAAAAAATATCTATTACCTCCAAACATAAATAATAATTTGACAGACAATTCTTGTCAAATATTTTCTTCTCAGCATTCTATAGACATTGTTTTAGTGTCTCTTTTTAAAAAATATTGTTTTATTGATTACAAAAAGGAAGGGGGAGTGAGGGAGAGAGAGAAACATCAATGATGAGAGAATTATTGATCTGCTGCCTCCTGCTCAGGGGCAGGTGTCTTGACCAGGAATTGAAAGGTAACCTCCTGGTTCATAGGTCCACACCCAACCTCTACACCGAAAGGGCACTTTATTGTCTTTTGATAAGTATTATTCTAGAAAAGTGTAACTCTTTTACCTGCAAACAATTTTTTTTCCTTTATTCTTTTATCATTTTTCTTTTTATTTCATTCATATGAGAACATGACTGTTAGCTGAACCTACTATGGTAATCATTTCATAATATATATAAATCAAATCAGCATGCTGCATGCCTTAAGCTTATATAGGGATTCATGTCAATTATTTCTCAGTAAAATAAACAGACAAATAAATGTTTGCCCAGCCGGCAAAGCTCAGTGGTTGAGCATTCCCAGTCAGGGCACATGCCTGGGTTGTGGGCTTGATCCCCAGTGAGGGACATGCAGAAGGCCCATGAGATGGTTCTTTCTTCTCTTCGATATTTCTCTCTCTCTCTCACTCTCTCTCTCTGAAATCAATAAAACTATATTTTTAAAAATTGTTTAATCTTTTTTAAAATTTTAAAAAAGCTCACATTGCAATGTTGGTGGCTGACAATGTAGAATTTATGTCAAAATTATTGATAAATACAGTGATGGAAATGGTGAATATGGTGATTTCCTTTGACCCATGTATTTAGAAGTATGTTGTTAATTTCCAAATATTTCAGATTTTCTCTAATGATATTGGTGATGTCTAGTTTAGTTCTGTTTTGGTCAGGGAACATACTTATCATTTCAATTCGTTTGAAATTTATCACCCGAGGATAAATTTAACACTTGGGCCTATCTATGGTCTTTCTTGGTGTCTGCCATGTGGACTGAAAAAGAATGTGTATTCTGTAATTTTTAGGGGCTGTATTAGGTTTCTCTTTATGATCCAGTCAGAAAATATTTTATTTTAATAGATGAGTTTATGCGCATTGCTATGACTGGCATTTTTATTCTTAGTTTTGTCATATTATTTTGCATTATATTTACTTTTATCTTTGATCTTTTGTTAGTTCTTTTAATATTTAGAATTATGTATATTTTATTTCATTGTTAGCATTATGCTATTTTCTTTATATAATCCTCTCAGTCCCTTTTTTAGTTAGTCCTCACCCGAGGATATTTTTCCATTGATTTTTAGAGAGAGTGAAAAAGAAGGGGAGAGAGAAACATTGATGTGAGAGAGACACATCACTGGTTGCCTCTTGCACGCACCCCCACCAGGACTGGGGATCCTGCCTACAACTGAGGTGCATGCCCTTGACCAGAATTGAGCCTGGGACTCTTTAGTCCTCAAGCTGTTGCCCTATCCACTGAGCAAAACCAGCCATGGCTCAGTCCCTTTTTTAAAAAACTTAGGTTCTACTCTTTGGTTTATCAGCTTATAATGGCATCTTTAACTCTATAAGGAACTCAACTAACTTATTCAACTTTACCCTTTCTCTCCCCCTTTCCTGCCAGTTTTATTTTTAGTCGTATTAATTCTACTATGTCAGAGCATATAATATATATGATATTGTTTTTCTATCCTTACCCACAATTTCGTTTTAGCCTCAGTTCTACAATATATTAAATGCTAAGCACTCATCCATTTCTAAAGTTTTTCTCAATTATCTCTTAGTTGGAGGAATTCATTCTTTAGTAGATTTCTCAGGATTCTTAGAATTTTTGCATATCTATTCAATATTAAAACATTTTCTACAAACTTGAGAATTAATAAGTAGTTAAACTGTTACAAAATTCTTGTTTTATACTGTCTTTCCTTGACTTTCTTGAAAATGTCACCCTACTGTTTACTTGTTTTATATGTTGCTGTTGATATGTTTAATGTCAACCTGATTTTATTTTCTTTGCAAGTGACTTGGTTCTTTTTCCTGAAGGCCCAGAAGACTTTTATTACAACTACTATTATTATCTAAAGTCTAAGACTTTTACTTGCTATGCTTCAAAGGTAACCATGTTCCCAGTCAGTATTTCCAGATACACATTGTAGATTGAGGTCTTTCATTTCAGAGATTTTTAAATTATAGTTTTAAATATTATATTTTATTGTTTGTGTTTCCTCTTCAGGGACTTCAATTATAGGTATTATTTAATCTTATTTATATGTTTTTTGTTTCTATCAATTTCCCTCTCCTTTTTACTTTTTAATTTTTTAATTTGAGTTATCTTCTCTATTTTTTATCTTTAGTATCTATCTGCTTTTATACACCTTCAGTTATACTAGTATATCATATCCCTTCATTTCTGATATTTTGTCTTTTCTTTTAGTTTCTTTTTTTAGTTCAGTGTCCAAGTTTTTAAATTTTTAATTCATGGTATTTTTTTATATTGGCAGTTCCGATTTAATTATGTTTGATTCA